GCTCTCGGAGCCAATGGATGCGGGAGGTCCCGCAGGCCGCTCGAACGGACCCCGCAGCCTCGCTTCCACGCAGAGCCGGTCCGCCGAGAACTCCAGGCCGAGGAAGTCCAGGCAGCTCTCCAGCACCTCCATGGGATTCTCGACGAGCTGCTCGTAGAAGACGATCTGCAGCGGGCCGGGGAATTCCAGCCAGGTGAGGCCGTGCCGCTCCCATTGTTCTCCGGAATGCGTCACGAATCTCTGCCAAACTAACGGCAAAATCTTCCATGCACCTTCGTCTTCTGGAAATTTTAAGGGGAAATACGATGGAGGAATCGTCTCATTCAAATGGAATGAAGTGAGCTTGACCTTAACAAATAAAATGAAAAAAGGAATTGAGATGGGAGGGGGGAATCATAGACCATTGACCGATCACTTGCAAGTTGCATCGGTATGCCGACAGTTCCCAGTCCATCTATTGAATCCCCAATAAGTTAAAAGAAGGTGCTTTCTTATGGCGGCAAAGGTGTGATGGAATATTCGAAGGTGAGATGGACAAAATCAGAGCATTCATTCATTCTTTCTATCGAGCGGATGGAGACTTATTACATCTACTTCTCCGTGATGATCCCGGAGAGTGTGTAATTCATGGGTGGCGTGTGTGTGTAGGCAGAAAGTGGAGGGGGGTGGAGGGGGGGAGTTGGTGGGAAGATGCGTGCGGATTCTGGAAGTGTTCGCGAGGTTGGCGTAGATCAGAAAATTAAGGAAGGGGGGGGGATACAACAGAGAACGATCGGTGTCCAGCGGCCTGGGTTGGTTGGGAAGGGTGAGTGGAGCAGTAGCTCTAGTGGGAAGAGTGTGTGGTGGGCTTGCGGGGGGGGAGTAATTCATACCCACCAGGTTGTTGCCAAAAAGTGAAGGTACAATTGGGAAAAAATCGGGTCTCGTTGGAGGGAGAGAAAGGAAAAGGGTCTTGGGGGCCGCGTGATTTCATTAAGGCCTGGCAGTGGTGGCCCAGGGCCCACGCGGGTCAACAGATTCCTCAAGTCTCCAAACACTCGATGAAGGACGCCGATAATCTCGAAGGATAATCCCCTTGCCAGGAGATTATGGTGCAGTCGAACTCGGTCATAGCGCCGAAAAGCGCCAGGTCCTGAGGTAGAGCCCATACGTGCCATTTTACCTCGGTTATGGCAGGCTTGGGAGAAAGTATATAGCGAGAACCTAGTTTATAAGGAAGTCCATTCAAAGTCCCACTGACGAAATCGACAACGTAGACGTCCCTAATTCGTCACTCCTCCCAGGAATTTCCATAATCCGAAAAAATGTGACTGGAGGGTGAGGGAGGGAAAATCCCCAGTATCTAAAATCTCCTCTCCAGTTCGCCATTCGCATTTCTCGCTGACAAATTGGCCAGTGAAAAGCGGAAGAGAAATTGAAAATGAAAGTGGGCGAATTAAAGGCAACATCTGCTTATCGGTCTCCACAGTTTGGGAAAATGCGACAACCTCATGCTTCGGAGAACATCTCACACAACTTCTTAGATCCGTCGAGATGACGCCGACGAGACCGGACACGACCGAACCGAGATTATTAGAAAACGAATATCTAAAACATATTGCATTACATAACGATATGCCCACGCAATTCAAATATAAATTCCTAGCTGCGCTATTGACGCCTTGAAAACTCGGAAGAACACGGGGGACGAGAATTTCCGTTCAGTAGAATGCATCCTAGCGATGCGCCGGGACGATCTCCATCAGCTGCCTGTGATGGCTATTTTTATCTCTGTCGTATGAGAATGCAGCCTCCGATGGGAGATAGAGGTCGTCCATGCGTGAAAGGAGGTAATAGACGAACGCACTCCTCATGAATAGATGAAGGAAGAAGCGGAGGGATCAACGGAACGTTTTTTGGGGGGGGAGGTGGATGCAGGTGCGTCTGGACGTCGCGGCTTCGGGTCGCGGGATGCCTCGCAAGAGAGAGAAATCAGTTCTCCGTGAGAACACGAGCTTGGGAGTTTGGAGGTTTTCTGGATGAACCGTTCCGCGCGGTGAACGCGAGCGTCGGGCAAGGATTTTTCTCTTGAAACGGGGCTAACCAGGCTTTCCGGGTCCTTCCGTGTTGTACGGAGGGAAAGGTCAGGAAAAGAATGAAGAAAAAAAAAATTCAATAACTTGTGTTTACAATTCGGTTAATCGTGAACAACCAGCATTGCGTGGAATGGTTTCTCTCATTTCTCGGATTTTTGTAGAAACATCGCAGACGACTGGGAACACGATTCCTGGAGCGAAGAGGAGGACTCCCCTTGGGGACTGCTTTCGAACCGTATTGAGATTTTTCACGAGCGAGGACGATGGATGGGGATCGTTTCGGCCCACGTTGCTAGAGTTTAAGCCCTTTTTTAATTTCTAGCATCACGCTCTCTCAGAAAGGAAAAGTAAACACCGACATCGGGAGGATCAGAAGCCAATGAACCCTGAAAAAAAAAAGAAAATACCGAAAAAGCACTTAAAGCTAAGCCTTCCTGATCCCTGGCATTCATCACCATCAGCTTATCCCCTTCGCTTGTAAATAATCTGGGTTCAATTGATCTTTCTTATGATGCCTTGACACCGAACAAGACTACCAAAAATGATTGCTTCGGTATAGTTCACGTCGAGTAAAGTAACTGAAATCAGTCGGATTAACCTCTTCCGTCTCGCGCGTCTGAGGTGTCCCGCAGAGCGCCGGTTGAACTCGGCCAGGATGGCCGGTCCCGGATCCCGGATCAGCAAAACTGCCCGGTCAAAACCTTCCCGATCCCCTTCGTGCGTCTTCACCACGGAGACAGTCCCGTTTTGGATTCCTTCGCCCGGGAAGCCGTGGTCGCGTAGATACACGTCAGTTGAGTACACACTTCCCGTCATGTAACCTGAAAACACCTCCGTTTCCCACAAGCTTTCGAAAAATTAGTTAAACTTCATGCTCTGGATCTGACTTACAAAAAAAATATTTATCTTGAGGCAGAATATCAAAATGCATTTGGCTGTAGCGTATGAATATAGCTTTTGAAAATCAATCCAGTCCGTTTCCCGTTTACTTCTTAAGTCAAGAGGCTGGGTTGACTTAAAAACCTGCACAAGTAAAAAAAAAAAAAAAAAAAAAAAAAAAAAGAAAAGAAAAGGC